GCTCCAGGGTAGAACACAGAGCACCCACCGAGAGGACAAGTTCTCCTTGGCTTGCACCGCACACAGGGAGTTGCTCTACAGGACACAGCACAAGGGTGACGAACTGGCAGGGAAGCCAGATAGACTGCTAAGAGCCAGAGAGACAATGGGGAACGTGGCTGCAACACAGAGCCAGGGTCAGGGACCAAGACACCCAGGAGCTGAGCCTGACGGAACAAAAGAGGGGCAGTCAGCAGCCCCAAGGCACAGCAGGGAGCAGACAGAGCGAGATGGACTAAGATGACTGCAGATCCAGGTCTCCAAGGACAAGGTGTTGTGGATGTTGTTCCAAGCACAAAGGGAGGCCCTGAGAGCCTTTCACAAAGGGTCAGCTAGTAGCCGTTGACCGGTAGCGGGGCCACCTGCATGCCAAGCACAGTTCATCACACTTTGCATACATTAGCTTGTTTCAAGCTTCCTTGCAGCCCTGTGCAGTAAGGAACACAGATGAACCCCATCCAGCTGAAGAGGTGTCTGAGGGAGATGGGCATCCAAGCCAAGGAGCCAGAACTCAGAGCCAGGCTGTCTGGCCGTACACAGAGGTTGTGGAAGTGCACAGAGGCCAGGTTAGCCAGGCCTTACAAGCCATGGAAAAGGATCTGGGTTCTCTCCCAAGTGTCATGGGACTCATATATCCTCACTGTATCTGTCAGATGTGAGCTATAACAAGACACCACTTCTGGGAGAAGCACACAAACTCTGGCCAAGCTGGCTCTCAAGCAAACTGCAGCTCTAGCCACACGGCGATGTTTCATCCAGCCATGCCACTCCAGCAGGGTTCCCTAGCTGCTGCAGAACTGGGTATCTTCTTCTGGGCTGGGTGAGGATTCTCCACATGGGGCCATGGAGCAGCATGTGACCAACCAGGCTCTTGTACGATACGTCCCATCTGAGACCTACTGAGCTGCAGGGGCCCAGCCATCACTTAAACACCAGCCCTCTTGGTGGTCGGAACACGCATCCCAGTTATCCAGGTAAGTTTAGAAGCTGGCAAACTAACACTCTGGGATCCCCTACACACACAGGTACCACCACAGCCACCACCTTGTCCTTAGGCAAGCCCTGCAGGGCACACAGGGCCATCCTCCTGTGGGATCATGCTGGTGGCATTCTATAACCCCCAGTGGCTGGAAACCTCATTTTACCCAACCCATTCTGCCAGCCGATTTGATGCTGTGAACATATCTGGCATTCAATGGTTTGGGCCTCTTTTTCCCCAGGGTCACAGTCTTACATCTATCCTTCCATCCTTCCATCCTCCCTTTCTCCCTCTAGGGTTGAATTCACTCTCAGCCCTGCAGCCTCCAAAACAGATGCAAAGGATACTTCCAGCCTTGACCTAGACTTTCCCAACACCCCTCAGTCACAAGATTTCCCTTTTTTATTTAAAAAGATTTGATTTCTATTGGAAAGGCAGATATACAGAGGAGGAGGGACAGAGAGGAAGACCTTCTGTCGGATGGTTCACTCCCCAAGCAGCCACAATGGCTGGAGCTGAGCCAATCCGAAGCCAAGAGCCAGGAGCTCTTCTGGGTCTCCCACACAGGTGCAGGGTCCCAAGGCCTTAGGCCATGCTCGACTGCTTTCCCAGGCCACAAGCAGGGAGCTGGATGGGAAGTAGGGTTGCCAGGAATACAATCAGCGCCCATATAGGACACCAGCGCATGTAAGGCGAGGACTTTAACCACCATGCTATCGCACCAGGCCCAAGATTTCCCTTTAATTCATTCATCCATTTTCCTTCATCCATTCAACTTGGAATTTGGCCTTCATTCAGCATTCCCGGAGCTAACTGTGCAAGGTGCTAGGTGCCCCAGCAATGCTTCCAACAGAGTTTATCCCTGCCTCACACTACCATCCCAAGCCTGAAAGGCAGGAGGTAAGGCAAGGTACACACGTACACATACACACACACAACTGAGACCTAAATGAGAAAGACAGGCAGGCTCAGTAGTAAACCACAGCAGTGAATATTTGGCTGCCAAATTTATGCTAAATCCTTAGTGCTCTACACGCACTGCCATATAATCTTCCAACGGTGCTACAGGCTTGCTATCATCATCCCTGCTCTACAAGAAACAGAGGTATAGGGGAAATCAGGAGTATATCAAATAAGAGCGCCGACAGGCTGACTGACTCCAGAGCCTAGATTCCTAACTCAGGCTTCCCAGAAGAGTGCGGTGGAGTGCGGAGGGCAGTGGGTGAGTAGGCAACTGGTTGACCAGATGCTCAGCATCGGTAAGAGGCCATGAATAGAGAAGTCAGCTGGAAGCTGAGTGTATTAGTGCAACTGCGGAGCACTGGCTGGGCTGGACACACATTCGGGAATTGTGCTGGAGAACAGGGACTGAGGGAGGGATGGAGCACAAGAAGGGGGAGAGGGAGAGATCAAGGGTGACTCCCTGATTTAAAGGCCTGGGCACAGCCTGTTTGCAGAGGGCAAAGCTTCGCCTGGCAACAGATAATAAGTCCCAGGGGATGCTGCTGCACAGCAGGCTCTCAAGGACCTGTCAGTCACCAAGGGATCCAGGGGCCCTCCAGCAAGGCTTCCCAAACCAGCATGAACGCTACACCTACAATAACAAGAATAGCAGGGGGTTTCCTTCAGGGCTGTTGGCTTACAGGTTTCGTTTTTTCCCTGAAAAGCACAATTAAACTCATTTACAAATAAAAAGTCACGGCACTTACCCAGGCCTCACACAACTTGAAGAGGTTAACCTCAAACCAGAATCCAGGTCCAGGTCTGCCCAGCTTGGAAACCTACACTGCCTCCAGGAAATCAGCCATTTCCCACGGGGTGAGACGCATCTCTGATGAAATGCAACAGTGGTTTTAGATGCACAGGTGGCTCCCTTAAGCCCAGAACCTCTGAGTGCTAGTCTCCCTTCAACGCGTACCTTACAAGTGTGCTTGTGTGTACGTAACATCAAACAAATATTGTAACTAACCTTTGTGTGTATTACTGCTTAGCAAACACAGAAAGTCTCATTTGTTTGTGGTTTTGAAGAAAAAGAAAAAAATACATAAATAAAAGTGTTTTATTGGAGGTGCCCATGAGGGGGAGTGGGTCGTGGGTCGCATGCGGTACAGATGGGAGACATCTTGGTGAAGAGGGACAGGTGGATCTGCCCCCAGCTGGGGGTTCCTGGACCCAGCCCAGCAAGGGGGTAAACAGGGAGAACTGAGCGTCAGAATAGAGAGTACAGAGGCAGGTGGGCGATACAGCCTGTGGACCAACACACACGGAGTGAGCAGCGCCCCTCTGCTGAAGCAAGGTGGAAGCTAATGTAAAGGCCATTTTCAAGCAGGGGGGACAGGGTGGGAATCTGAGGGGAGAGGATACACACGTAACTGAAGCTTTGGAAACCACCGACCACGCAAGAGCAGCTGCGCACCTGTTCCACACACTCCGTCCGGGAAAGGCAGTATCGGAGGAACAGCATGCAGTATACATTACCGTCAGCGCAAGGCTAGCCATCAACACTGGTCCCACCCTGCTTATTCACACTCCCTGACTACTTCAGTTAAGCCTTCCCAAGCCTCAGGTTCGCTTTTGTTGAAAGTTATTAAAAAAAAAAAAAAAAAAAGCAGCCTCCAAGGGTTAAGTTAGGAACTTTGTTTGCATAAGTAGGGTGGGGCCTAGTGTGGGGAAAGAATCTGCAAAATCTCACCGCCGAACTCTTCCCAAGAACCTCTCCTGGGAGCCACGTGGAAACCATCTCGAGTTTAATTCGAATTTCTCCTCCTCCGGGGGCTATTTTAACCTGCCAAACCTGAGGCTCGGCTGCAGTAGCAGCCGAACAGCTGAGCCAGGGTCAGCCTTCTTCCTCTATCAAAGACATAGATACATTTATCAAAACGGAAGTCCTAAGGACCCTGGCCTCATTACAAAGCCCTTTCTGTAAGATGGAAACTTTTAATATAGGGCTTTTTTTTTTTTTTTTTTTTTTTTTAGTTCACAGGATAAGTTAGGAAATGTGGTCAGTTAGGCAAAGAGAGCATAGGATGGTTGGGTGGCAGCTGGCAAACTGCAAACACACAGCTGGGAGGCAGGTGATTAAAAAAAAATGACAAGTCCCTGGGCAAATTGTGAAGCCAGGGGAGATCATTATTATTACTGGAGAGTTGTTACATAATTACTTGTTAACTCCTAGCAAACAGGCTCACAGCTACAAAGTGCCACTGTTACCCTAGCCTCTGACGCTGCTACACCTGGTGCAAGAGTCAAGCTTTCTCCAATTGATTTCACTCAAAGACATAAGCAATCCCTTCCAAGCTTTTCCATATACACAACAGCCTCCAGCAAATTAAAATTAAGCCTATTGCCTCAAGGGACGAAAAACAGGTTTTCTTCTTCACGCTGATTTTCACGGAGAAGGTAGCGCCCGGTACATTCAGGGAGCCAAACACTTATCACCTGAATTTAAAAAAAAAAAAAACGACTTCCATTCCCACACTGGAAACTGGGAGAGAGAAAGATGCTCCCAACGCCGTTCCCGGGCTCAGCTGGCGCAAGACGCCAGTCCTCGCTGTCGGAGGTACCGCATTCCAACATTTTTCAAAAAGTTTACGAGGATTTACCGAAGCGACGGAGAAAATAATAATAATAATAATATTAAGGCACGCAGAACGTAAGAGCAGCAGACAGAGGGTTTTCGGTTAAAAAAAAAAAAAAAGCCGCCGGCGAAGCGCCCGGCAGCGCCGAGCAAGGCCCAATCACCGGGAAGCGACCCGACACCGGGAGAGCGAGCGCCCCCGCGGAGCGCCGGGTCTGACAACTGCTCGGTCGGCGTCGCCAGGGGTCCCCAACTCCCCGCGCCCCCTCCGTCCGGCCCCCGCCTCCGCTCCGGCTCCCCGACCCTTCCCCCGCAGCACCGGTGATGCCCGCTGCGCCAACTTGGCCCGGGGTCAGCGCTGCGGAGCGCGGCTGCCGTGGCCGCGGAGGCCGCCGGCGTCCTCACCTCCTTTTGCTTGGGGTCCTGCGGGTAGACGTCGGGCGGCCCGAGCCGGGGGCGCTTCAGCGGTCTCCGCTCATAGCTGAGAAGCCCGAAGGCGGCCATGATCTCTCATGTTAACCGGCGAAATGAATGGGAGTTGGAGCAGCCGCCTCTGAGCACCAGGGAGCAGCACTTTGCAGACAGACTCCTTCTCGCTCGCTCGCTCGCTCGCTGTGGCGCTGCAGGCAGGAAGAAAGCAGGCTGGATGCTGCCGTGCCCGGCACGCAGACGCGAGCCGATGGGGGCAGCCTCCCGCGAGCACCGGCTGCGCTCGGGCCCCGGGACGCACCGCTCCGGAGCCGGCGGCGGAGAGGCTGGAGGTCTGCCAGGGTCCTCCGCGGCGTCCGCCTCCCGCCCGCCCGCCCCCCTCCACCCTTATCCCCCAGGGGGAGGAGCAGCTGATGGGAACGTGTGACTTTTTTCACCAATGGACCTAAACCCACCTCAGCTGGGCTCCGAATGGGCGTGGGGGGAGGGGCAGCGACGGAGGGTGGGGGAGGGATAAAAAAAACTTTTCTTGGCGCCTAGGAGGGTTGCTCGAGTGTTCACCCACCCCCTCACCCCCGGGCGAGGGTGGTCCAGATCCCCGGGGAAGAGGCTGCGAAGCGACCCGTCCCCGCCCCCCACCCCTCCTTCTCAGCGGGGTCGACTCCCCCGGCCACCGCGCGCCCTGCAGACCTCGCCACCTGGGCTCGGACCTGGCTGGTGCAGGAGGGCAGCAGGCCAGAAGCGGGGTCGGTGCGCCGGGGAAGACTCGGTGGTCGCGAGCGGTGTGTGCCTCTTAGACGCCGGCCACGCTCGGCTGGCGCATCCGCGGCTGGGGGTCCCCTCCGCCGCTCCGGGAGGCGCCGAGGCGCGCGGCTGGCGGTCGCGGCGGCAGCTGGAGGGGGGCCGCGCTCGCCGTGGCGCGGGGCCGACTTAACCCTTTGCAGCCCCTCCCGAGGCTGGGATGGGGAGCTCCGGGGGAAAGGCGTGGGGGGTGGTGGACGGCTGCGAGCGCCGACGGGGGCGGCCAGCCGCAGGCGTGCCGGGATGCTCCAGCCCGCCGCCCTCCCGGGCCTCAGCCCCTCCTCCTCCTCTCCCCACCCCCACCCCTAACAGTTTACCTGTTGGTCCTCCCCCCCCCCAACCCCCAGCTAGCGGGCAGGGGCCGGCGGCGGCAGCGGCGGCGGGGGCACTCGCGTGGCCGCAGCCTCCATCCTTCGGCTAGGGAAGAGGGAGCTGGTCCGGATCCCTGTTGGTGATCAGCCTCGCCCGGACCGGCCCCGGGGACGCAGCGAAGTTTGCGGCTGTCTGGGGGCGGCGGGCGACGCCGGCTGGCCGCCGCCGACGTTCTCACCCCCACGGCCCGGGAGCGCGAGCTTCCGAGTTGGCGGACAGCGGCGCGGCGGCCACTGAGCATGCCCAGCTCGGTGGCCGGACCGCGGAGGAGTTGGCTGCGAGCGAGCTCCGATCCGCCTCTCCGGGTTTTCGCAGCCGCAGAGCGCGCAGCCCGCGGGGCCCCGGCGCCGGAGCTGGCCCTGGGGTGACCCTGCGTCGGAGCGAGGGCGCCCTGAGGAGCTCCCTGTCGGCCCGGGGTTGCGCTCTTCGCCCTGACCTCCCCTGAGGTCGCTGTGCCGGTGGCCTGAGCCGGAAACCTCACCTGCACAGGACGCAAGGATGGGAGAGGGTGGTCCTCTCGCGTCTCCTAAGCTAACCCGCCCGCACACCCCACACGCTTCGGGGCGTGGGCACCGAGATGCTGGGCCACCTGGCCGGAGACCGGGGCCGCCGAGGCGTGCCCAGTCTGCCCCCCACCCCCACCCCAGGGACGCCGCGGGAGGCGCGCCTGGCAGGATGCGCTGCACTTGGCCAAGAATGATGGCTGCCACTGACGGAACCTTCGCTTTCTGCCAGGATCTTGACTCAGAATCTCGGAAGCTGAGAACAACCATAGAGGGCTTTACTGAACCCTTCTTACAGATGGAGAAAATGAGGCCATTTAGGGGAAATTCGGGCACTTGCTGAAAGCCTCGAAGCTGGTTGGGATTTGAACCTACAACTGCTTTATCCCAAGTTTCCTATCTGTATCCCATGCACGGAGTGGCAAGGCCTGGATGCCCACCCTTGCGTGATTGGGTCACAGTCCCGTCAGGATCTAACCAGAAGCCTGTGGACAGCCCTTGACGCACAGTGGGTGGGAGCCCAGGGCATGCTAGTTGAATCCGAGTGTCTGCTTCCCTCTGCTGACTTTGAACAAAGAGCAGGGAGGAGGAGACAGACAAAGCAGGTCCTCACTGCCAACCTTGACCTGTGAGCATCTCCAAACCCAACAGGAGAACCTATATCGTCTGGGTTCCTTACGCAGCCTGTGCAAGCCTGGTGGGATGAGGGAAGGTGGCAGGTGGCGATGGGAGGCCATTCCGGGACATTCTCCCCACCCCTGCTGTGGGGAATTCTTTTTTCCCTTATGACCCTAAGAGTAACTCCCTGGCTGGACTTGCACTTGTCCTAGGGCTACTGTCAAGTCCAGCTCTCAAATAGGACAGGACAGGCTTGCTTTTATCTAACTTTATCATGAAAAATTGTCAGATGCACCAAAATCTGAAGAAATGGTATAACAAGCCCCTATATACTGCCCTAGGAAGCATCTCCTGGCTGTGACAGTTATCAAGCTCACTGGTCTGTCCCGTTTATCTTTTCGATCCCCAACACACTGCCATAGCAGCAAGCACAGCTGTACTCATTGTTGCAACTCGGACACATACCATGGTAGCTGGCACCTGGTGAGCGTTCCCAAAAATGCTGCTTCTGTAGCCGTGAAAGGTGGGTGGGTGGAGGCACGGTCAGATCTAAGTGAGACTTTGAGGATACTCTGCTGCTGCCAGGCAGCCATACTTCATCCTTCATCTGGGGAAAAGGGGAGGATTGTTGTTGCTGTCTTGAAGATTTTGTTTTTAAAAGATAAGTATTTAAAAGAGCAGAGAGAGAAAGCTTTTATTCTCTGTCCAAATGCCCACACTGACTGGGACTGGGTCAGCCGGAGGAACTCGGAGCTTTGTCCAGGTCTTCCACGTGGGATAGGGGCCCAAGGACTGGGTCATCCTCCTCTGCTTTCCCAGATGCATTAGTAATGAGCAGTATTAGAAGTGATCATGGGGTCCAGCGTGATAGCCTAGCAGCTAAAGTCCTCTCCCTGTCCACACTGGGATCCCATCTGGATGCCTGTTCTAATCCTGGCTGTCCCGCTTACCATCCAGCTCCCTGCTTGTGGCCTGGGAAAGCAGTCGAGGACAGCCCAAAGCCTTGGGACACTGCCCCCATGCAGGATACTCAGAAGAGGCTCCTGGCTCCTGGCTTTGGATCGGCACAGCTCCAGCCATTGCAGCTGCTTGAGGAGTGAACCATCAGAGGGAAGATCTTCCTCTCTGTCTCTCCTCCTCTCTATATATCTGACTTTGTAATAAAAATAAAATAAGTCTGTTATGCCACAAGGCCAGCCCCAATAAATCATTTATTCTGAAAAGCAGAGCAATGGAGGAGTGAGAAAGAGACCCTCTGGTTCTCTCCTCTATGGCCACAACAACCAGGACCAGTGCAGTCCAAAGTCAGGGCTCTGGAACTCCACGCCAGCTCCCATTTGGGTGACAGGGTTGCCTCCCAAGGGACATTGGCAGGGAGCTGGATCAGAGGCAGAGCAGAGATGAGCCAATGAACTAATGCCCTAATACAGGGTACTGGTGTGACATGCAGTGGCTTAACCTAGTGTGCTCCAACCTAGAGGAGAGATCTAACCTGAATACTTAGGATATCTCGGCCAGCACCTCCAAGTGAGGCATGTTTGCAGCATTTAAAATCTTATTCACCTGGGCCCGGCGCGGTGGCGCAAGTGGTTAAGGTCCTCTCCTTGCACGCCCCCAGGATCCCATATGGGCCCCGCTTCCCTTCCAGCTCCCTGCCTGTGGCCCGGGAAAGCAGTCAAGGACGGCCCGAGGCTTTGGGACCCTGCACCCACGTGGGAGACCCAGAAGAGGCTCCTGGCTTCGGATGGGCATAGCATCAGCCGTTGCGCTCACTTGGGGAGTGAATCATCGGACGGAAGATCTTCCTCTCTGTCTCTCCTCTCTGTATATCTGCCTTTCCAATAAAAAAAAATAAAAATAAATCTTTAAAAAAAAATCCTATTCACCCATAAAGGTTTTATCTTGAAACCCAAATATGGTGTCGTTAATTTCGTTTTGTGGCTTTTCATTTAAGGGGATGTATAGGAGCTGTGTAGTGGAGACTGTCATAGCTAGTAACATGTTATTTAACTTCATGGCATTGTAAATTTCTATTTTTGTTTCTATTGTTGATTTTGTATTATGACTTTTCATTTGAGGGGATGTACAGTAGCTGTGAAATGGAAACTAACATATCCAGATGTGAGGATACAATGTAGTATGCATTTCTCCTGCCAGACAAAGATGAAGCTGTTTACTATGTCTTGACAACAGGATGCTGGACTCTCTGCCATTGTCCATGCCCACAATGATGGACATATGACTGTGTATGAAGAAGTACACTATAGGAATGATATAGAGGAACTGGGTGGGTGGGAGGGGGAAATTGGGGCTGGGATAAGGGAAATGCCAGGAGCCTATGGAACTGTATCATAAAATGATAATAATAATTGAAGATTTTTAGATTCAATGTACTCCAAAATCTACACACTCAAATGACTTCAGGAGCCAGCAGAAGCCCTAGGAACTAGTGGAGATGGATCTGCCAGTGTGTCCGACGTGGTTGTTGACTCTGCTTGTGGTCATCCCTTTTCAATGCTGTACAATTACTGCAAGCCAATGGTTCCACCTGTAGGACAATTTTTGTCCACTCTGCTAACGAGTTCTTTGCCAGAAAGATCAACAGCAACAAACTTAACCCAAGGGAAATGTAGGCTGCAAGATGCGTGCATTTAGAGTTGCTAATTCAACTGAGCATTCTCATAAGTTCACAAAAATGAGTACTAAGAGAACAATTTCAGGGATTTCAATTTTTTTTTTTGCACCACAATAGGCTTATCTTGTGACTCAGTCTTCCACAAACTCTGGAAATACCATTAAAGTATCTTTTTACTAAAACAAATGTAACAATAAACTTTAAAACAATTTTAGTGACATCGGCATTTACACATAACATAAATATTTCAAAGTGAAAAAAAAAGA